ACTACAAATAAAACTAATGGCATCAAAAGGGTTTTAGCTACACAACTTCAAAAGCCTCCCATTCATCTCCCGTTGTAGCGTGTCAATGTGGAACAACAACGTGTTTTGCTTGGCGTCTTAAATCTGTGGTGGAGTCAGTCTTATCAGCAGTGTTTAGGTGGTGGAGGGAGGCTAGGAGTTGGGCTCCGGTCCCTGTGAGCCGAGCAGAGCTCCCACAGACCGGCTTCAATAGGAGCCACGCAGCCTGGGGAGTGGAGGGACTTTCACCGGGGGCCCTTCTGACGGCCCGGGAGCCAAAAAAACAACAAGCTGGAGCGACGACAACCGACGCCACACAGAGACAAAAACAAAGCCACTATCCTCTCTAACCCTCCACTCCCACCCACGCCTCTCCCCTCCTTTCCGTATCCCCTGGTGCTCATAAGGCAGGCGGTGAGGAGTGAAGCTCCCCCTCAGCAGGTGCTGTGGCTGGGGCCTGGCCTCGCCTGGGCAGGCTGGCTCCATGGAGCAAGCCATCTTTCCCTCAGCAGGATGTATGAAGGAGGGAGAAGAGAGGAGGACTAGAGTGTTGTGATGTCCTCAGCTATGATGACAGTATTGTTTTGATGAGCGCATGAGAGCACGTGAAATCAAAACTCTTATATGCACACACACACAAATGATACAATCTATTTTTTTACCATATTCCCACACTGCTCGGTTACACGTTTCATAAAAATAAAGAAAAGATGACATACTGTCCAACTAATCAAAACATGAGCGACCAACATACACAGTCACAGATTCCTTCAGCGTGGAAACACAAATTCACACCCCGTTATATGAATACTTGGTGCATCCTTGACTGGTATTATTTTGTCTTCTCATCTTACAGGTAGACAAAAAAAAAAAAAAAAAAAAAAAAAAAACACCAGTCGTTTCAATTTAGAGGATAATTTCTTCCAGCTCCACTTAACATGATGAAAGACTTTGATAAGGGGATTGCAACCACATGGAATCATTACTGTGGAGGGAACGCCATATGGAATAAATGTGTCAACCAGCCTCCTCGCCATATACCATACAGTACAGTAGTTTGATGCGCGCTCCGTGTCAATGAGACTGTTTATAAAGAGCTGAGACCCAGAAGCACAAAGGGTGGGAGGACGCTGGAGAGTGAGCGTTCTGTGAGGTCTATACACAGTAACACACCCTGCTGTTTGTCAGACCTGCACAGCAGATGACATCAATGCAGCAATGATCCTCTGATGGTCCTTGAAATGTAGCCCCCCCCCCCCTAAAGAGTAAAAAAAAAAAAAAACTTCAAATGATTTACTTTTTTGAAAATGTAATTTGGTCACAAAATACAGCAATATTGTTTATAGGCCAATTTTAGGCAACGACATCCAGCAGCAGACTCATACATCAAATAGATCCCAGCTGCTTCACAAATCACAACAAAACGCTGCGCTCGATTCAACGCCTTGAACCGCACTAAAACCCTGCAGACGTAGATAAAGAACTACACATGGCGCCACACGTTGCCGCAGACTACACTGCGCGTGGACATGGAGGGCTTCTGGGAAATGTAGTGTTCTCATATCAGGGATTGTTGCCGAATGGGGCCAGGGTTTGAGACCGTGAGGACAGATACACATGGCACTGGGGGTGACGAGGGGTACGTCCCAAATGGCACCCTATATTAGTGCACTACTTTTAACTAGTCCTATGTGGCCTGGTCAAAAGTAGTGCACCATATAGGGAATAGGGTGCCATTTGGGATGCAACCGAGAATAGGGGAGCGCGGTAAATCCCGTTAGGTAAGCCAGGGTTAGTGATTCCACACCGCCGAGCATGCCGCCAAGGAGATCCGTCACGTTCTCGCTGACATCAAAGGGGAACCACAGTCTCCCCCCACGGGCTCTCACACACCACAAGGACCCGCCACCAAGGGGGACGACAGGGGGAGGGAGGTATGGCCTGGGAGGGGCAGCAAATGGTTCCCTCAGCTCTCTCCACACCAAAAGCCCAGCTTAAAAATCAGCTATGGCGATTCCATCTTCTCCAACTGCTGCACTGACAGGCTGGAGACTGGATGCTTGGAGATCATCAACTTATGCTTGGAATGAGGTAGTGGATTCAAAGTTATAGTTTTAAAGTAAGGTAGTGTGTGAAAATGGCTTCCACTGTTGCAGGCTTGGTGGTTAAAAGTTGTCATGCTCAAATTCAGATGTTTCATGAGAAGGTGACAAAAGTTTAAACTATGACTGAATCAAGAGAGGAGCAGCATCCTTGTTTATTCAAACACACTAATCCTGAAGCTATACATTTGATACAATGACTCAAATAGCATTTCTCATTGACTCCATTGCACGTTCTATTTAAACGTTTATACAGTCAGAAAACAGAGGGGTTGAGTTAACGCACATAGGAAAGTGTTTGCTCGCTAATTCCTAGATTTTAGCCAGAGAGATGTGAGAGCTTGATGCCAAGCTGCCAGCCAATCCAGACATTGAACGTGTGGTCTTCACAAAGACTTAACAGAGGCCAGAGTAAGGAACACAATCCCCTCTCTCTTCCCAGAGTTCTGTGCAGTCCGGCCCTCTGGCTATGGGAGCTGGAAATATGAGCCATCACACACGCAAAGTCACTTTAAATAATCCAATATGCAACAGTCAAACCTCACACGACCCTACTTCTGAAGACTTGAAGAACACACACACACGAGAACATATCACTACAGCTCTCACTGACACCAATATAGAACTAGATAACACTTAAAACAGAATACTAAATGTATTTACATCACTAGGCTTCTAGAAAGACTAAATAGTGGCAGGCAGGGTTTTCAATGCAATTCCTCAGGAACAAACCACACCAACCAAGAGCCAACAAATACTGCTACAAAGTGTAAACTCTGTATTGACAATGTAATAAGCAAGTAAAAAAAACACTAATATGACACACTTTATCTGTTAAAATAAAGATAATAATAATGCATTCATTTTCATTTCACCATGAAAGCTTTAGACCTCAACTGCACTGCTTTCTTAAAATTACCCCATCTCTCCTTTCATATCTAAACCTGGACAACCACTTCCAGAGATGAAGGGATATCTAACATCCAACGGAGATCCTCTCTTCCTTCCATAAAAACACAGAACTTTATTGAATCAACTACACAGGGACAAGCCCCATATGTGCCACTGGTCATGGTGCCTCCACTACGCTAACCCCATTGACAGCTGAACTACAAAAAAACCCTTCGTTCCTTCTCCATTTAAAGATGTAAAGATCTATCGCAACTCCTTAGAGGTACTATCGCTCACTCCTTGCTTCCCTCCCAAAGATCTGCTGACAATCAGTAACTCCGAACAGCTCTGTCAGTTGGGCCTCATGCACAGGAATGCCATGGTCAATGAAAATCAATCTAAACTGGAGAGGGGGATGGAGGGAGAGGGAGGGAGGGAGGGAAGAAAGGGAGAGAACGTGCCTTTGATCTGGGTGAAAACTGATCCTAGGCCTGCAGATACTGTGGCTGCGGTGGTGGTGGCCGGCAGGCTTGATACAACAGGCAGCACACACATTTCACATCCAGTCAACAGCCAGGCAGCACACACAATTCACATCCAGCCAATCAACTAGAAGAGAAAGAAGAGAGGAGTTCTGTTCCAAAGTCCATGACTGCACCGCCATCAACCGGGTCCGTTTTACTGGATAAGTGAGAGAAATGTACATAAAATGGACTACTGTTTTATTGAAGACGGGGCGAGGGGGGAAATTTGGCAAAACAAAAAGCGGGCGGCGGCCACAGTAAATGAAATGAAAGTGGGGAAAAAAAACGTTCCAGGCAGCGAGAGGGGCCACATAACAGCAGTAATTTCCTTATTTAAACAAGGTTGGATGGAAGCCTCTCAGACCTTGAGATGTTATCCATTCCATAAGATGCAAAACAATTATATTGGAGCAATAAATTGGCTGTAAAAACATCTATGGTCAGAGGACTCCTATACAAGAGCAAAGTGTGTGCCACTGCCATGAGATCAGAACACCATTCACTTTGTATTGTCAGTCAGATTCACACAGTCGCTACACAGACTTCAAACCCTTCAAATTAATTTCATGATGAAACCAACTCAGACACACATAAGCCAGAGTCTTTGGTCCTTGAACAATGCGTGTATGTCTGTGTCCTCTAGTCTATGTGCTAGCAGGGTGCAGGGACAGGCTTTGGGAGGCACCGAGCCATAGCCAGACTGGGTGTATTCACCAGCACACAACCCCCCCCCCCCCCCCCCACACACACCAAACAGGATTAGGGTGGACAGCTGCTGGCATGCCCTGGCGTTTTGCGTCTGTCTTGCTGGAAATGTTCATAACGGGACAGATACAGGAAGCCAGCCACCAGGCCTACAGCCTGAAATTAATACTGTTATGTTATAGGGACTATAAGCATGGGGACATACGGCAACCCTGGCTATTTCCACAAACTCCCTCTTCAAATGGGATGTTGCCGTTAGGCGTCCGCGACCATGTCAGCGTAATTGGTGGGCTTACTGTCGATATGTAAACAAAGATTGATTAAGTTAACAAGATGAGCGAAATAACACATAATATGGATGTCGTTAATCTGCTGGAAAGTATGACAGGCATGTGGGGGAGACTAGATCACATGTGGTTGCCAAGGGGACAGGTAAACACAACATTACTGGGACATGTTATGTACGGCTATCACAGCCATCACAAACCGGCTTCATCACACTAGGAAGGCGGCGAAGAGAGGCAAAGAACATTCTAGAGTTGAAAATATGGTAGAAAATATTAATGGAAATTTCAATATACAGGTATATTTGAATAGAAATCCCAGGTTTAGCGCACTCTTTTTAGGAGTTTAGACCTGGTTAAGTATTTAAGATCGAATCAAACTTCACAGTGAAAATGTACTAGACACAAACGGCTGGATAGCTTGACAGATTGGTGGAAGTGATTGATTGATGGAGGTATAGTGTAACTGGACTCACCGTTCTGGGCATGGGCGGCGACAGGGAGCCGTTGTTCATGTAGGAGTCGTTGTTCATATTAGTCATCATGATGTAACCTGGGTATCCAGAGTACGAATGACCTTTGTTGTACATGTCTAGGTGTTTCCCTGGAAAAAAGCCCAGGAGACAGAAAAGTGTGACCTTGAAGCTTGGTGCAAATCGTACATTTACGATCATTAATGGAAGATTTGTTAGAGAACTCAAGTCAAGCACATTAATCTCAGTTAGGATTTTGGCCTTTTAAATAGAATAGCATCTCTAAGCAACAGTCTGATCTAGTAACATAGCAATATTCCCCGCCATCATAACTTCAGCAGTTCAGAGTCATTGGGAAAATCTCCTGGAGTTTATAGCCTACTAATACAGTTGCATGTGAATAGTCATTGCCAAGTTAGTCTCGCTATCAACACTGGGTCCATCTGGCACTATGACAATCGCATCATCACGCCATGCATGCCTCTTGATGCCGTAATGATATCGTTGTCGATCGCTGTGACCCGGTGCCCCCGTTTCACTAGTCTTTTGTCTTGCATGTCTTGGAGAAGAGGAGAGGGGGGCCGTATTATACAGAGGAACAATGGCGTCCCTCCGTGCCAATTAGCGTCAATTAGGAAGAACATACAGACTGTGTCAAAACAAGAGACGCCCCTACTGTTCCCCACGCCTCTGACCTAAAGAGAGAGCATTTGATAGGGGCCGTCCGTCCCCCTGCCTGAATAGAAACACGCGACAAACGACTTGGTGGCTGTTAGTTGTTGCTTTCTGGGGAGAGGGGGAGGGGTTGGTGTGGTGTGTCTGGTAGATTGATGGCAACATGGGCTTGTTGTGGGGAAAGGGAGTGTTTGGTTTGAGGGGGTCCTATTCAGGGCTGCTAGGGGAACAAAGAAGAGACACTCTGAACAGAACAGAGCTCCAATCATGACCTGCAGCTCTATCTGGGGTCAGAATACAGCCCGGACCAAATAATGACATCAAATGAGTCTGGCGCTGTCGCACAGCAGCAACATGTACAGGACAACACACACAGAGACAGAGAGAGACAGTGATACAGAGAGACAGAGAGTATGTGTACAAAATTAGCCAAGGAGAATATTAAGTGTCACTCACTACTAGTATCAGAGAGCCACATGTTTAAGTCACTGCCTATCATTTGAAGTCCTCTTCACAGGTTTTTATTCATGTCAATTTAACAATTTAAAAGCATCAGTATTACATCTTTCAGATAACCATGCAAGGGGCCGCAGTCATTGGGATTACTAAACAATTCTCTGCATAAATAATATTTCCTCCGGACCACAAAATACTTACATATATGACGTCTTATTTTATTCAGTTTGTACATGTCCTGACTAGAATCAATTCAGATATCATCTCTGCATCAGAATGAACTGGGGTCAGATAAGAAAAAGGACCATAGTGTGACTGATCAGTTCTGAACAGAAAATTAAGTGGGTAGAACCTTTTCCAGTCTACCATCTTTCTTCCCTTTAAAAATAAAAAACAAATCTCTCAATTATCAAGCCTCCAGAAATGGATTTGAATATTTAAAGGGGGGGGGAATTTTTTTAAAACCTTTATCTTGGCTCAATGTTACCCATATATAACTGCAGATCTCTAAAACATGCTGATAACTGACTGGAGAATATTTAATGTGATGTGTGTCACTTACCATCATCCTGATGGTCTCTGTGTTTTTCATGATATGAGTCTTGGGATATTTGGGATTGTCTAGTTCCCTGTGAGAGACAGAGACAGAAATTAGGTTATTCAATTTGAAAAACTTCACACACACACACACACACACACACACACACACACACACGGTTAAAAGCACAAACAAACACGCTGCTATGGCCTGCGCCATCTTTCAGCTTGTCCCCGGACCTAAGAACACATACAGTGAGGCGAGTGCGTTGGGGAGAGAGGGTTTGACGGAGCGGTCTGTATCAACCCCTCAACGAGCCACTTAATTAAGCTTCATGTCCTTAAGGAGCTTACAAATTAACTTGCATCAGTCTGCTTTCATTTTCACCAACCAATTTACCCAAAGCTCCAACCAAATTCAAAATCAAATAAATCACGGTAGTCTGATGCTTTGCAATAAAAATGTGTTCTGCAAAAAAGATTCAAAAATAACTGCGAAAATAGAGAAGAGGGGATGGTTTTTACTGTATAGTCGACTGCTTTTCCAAAATACTGTGAACCCCTCCACATGCATCTCCCCCACCCCCGAATGGGAACGGGTAGAAAGACCTCCTTTTGGAGTTCACTTCCCTGAGGGTGGCTTCCAGTAGAGTCACGGAACTTCACTGGATTCGCAATTAACATTCAGCCTCCGTCTTATTTGCCTCTGTGACAGCTCTAACTATATGAGTCAGTAGGTACCCTAATTCCATTAACATTGGTTAATGACAAATGGCAACAGCTAATTGTGCTAGGTTTACCTTTGTATACATACAGCATCCAGAGCTAGAGAGTTAGTAACAGCTGCCTAGCCCAGATTTTAAAAAAATACATTGAGGCACAAAGTTAAAATTACTATTGAATATGAAACTCACTGCACTGAGGAGGAATGTGACAATCACACAGTCTAAAACGATGTAAGCTACACTTGTTGTTACATCTCTGATACATACATGAGATACATGATTGAGATAAAGGAATGACAGATGATTTAAATACATAAACAATGTGAACAAAATAGCTACCAGCATTACCTTTAAACTTGTACTGTGCCAGTGACATTTCTTTCATACTTCAAATATGAACAAAATCTATATCAAAACGTAATATTTCCATTCATTCCCCCCCAATTTAATTCCATCCTTTAACAATGTGTTGTCTCTCCATGAAATGGCCATAATCGCCCCAAAACATGCAGAAATGGAGTAGCCTTAACTCACATTGGGAACATGAGTGTCACTGTAATCTAGAGGTGACATTTTATCATGTGTGGTTTTTCTTCAAAGTTCATTTAATCTGGATTTCCCTTTGAACAAAATCCATTTGTTTTATATCAAATACGAATTTGATCTGTCGAAAAACGCTAATATTTTATATTATTCATTGCTTAGATTATCCAACCTGGTGAAATTTTTAATTAAATCACCAAACCCATTGCAATATTGATATTGTTAATGTAATAATTATCAGTAGGCCTACTTATCATTTTACTAATATTGTTTTTCTTATAAAGACAATAATTGTTACACTAATAATATTACTACTAATAACCACAATAATGCAATAGGGATAATTTAATATTGTAATAGGCCTAACAAAATAATTTAAAATGTATTCACGAATTCGTCACCTCCTGAGCAATCTTTAATTTCAAATAACCTCGTAAAAACTGTACAACAGTTCTCTGAAATGTATAAAATAATTGATCATATGAAATTGTTCTGTAGGTTTGACCTTTGGTATAATTCGTCGACAATGTTTGGAAAAGCTCTGCAGCCACGTGCACCAGCTTTATTTATGCGCCTCTGTTTACAACCGATTCCACAATGTAAACAGAACATGGCTACTATTTACAGATTAAATAGTCATATTATACACATATAATATTAGGCTACACATCACCTTGTTATTTATGGCATAACCAAACATAGTTTGGGCCTACATCCAGTCATTTTATCAGCTCAAACTTTCATAAAATGTCCAACTGACACACCTGAAATGGGGGCTATTATTTAGGGACAGGTGAACTTGAATAAATATGTTGCCGTTAGAAATTTGATGGGCATTTATTTAGGCTAGCCTATATAAAAGTTTGGCAACATGTAACACTGGACTTTTAAGTACAAGAGAGGAAATACTTACATCATGATTGCTGTTTGGACTCGTCTCTGACTCATTTACTAAAGATGACTTGATATCTGCTAAGTCTCCCTCGTCTTCCTCTGAGTGACTGAGTTCTGCGAATATTTGTTCTTGGTCTCCCTCATCCTTGAACGGAATCATTTCGTCCGTGGCACAAAGCTCAGGGTCCCCGCCACCACCACCTGCTAGTTGTGGCATTTTGAGTCAGTCAAAGTCCTCGCACTGTCCAAACTGGAGGAACTATCGAAATCCCCAAAACGAAACCCAAAACGTTCCTTGAAGCCGCTAGCTACAATGTTTCACTTGAAGCGTTGCGCTAGGAACCCTGGAGGAAACGGCGTGCGAGCACGCTTTTTGTTTTGGCTAAATTAACAGGAGAGCCTTTTTTGGCGTTGTTTTTCGAAGTATTATGGATTCTTACAATGATTCAGATTTTAAATACCCGAAAATGGAAGATGTTATCGGCAAAAGCGGATGTTTAGTGCACGCTCAACCCGCCGCACTCGCCTGTTCGGCTCTTTAAAATGTCAGAAGTCAAAACCTCATCACGCGAGTCAGATGGCACAGATTTGGCAGAGGAGGGCACACACCGGGGAACTCCGCTAACCGTCAAAGTGCATGTAGAAAAAAACTTCTGCTTATATTTCCTCGTTCTGTGGTCCTGTGAGAGTTGCAGTCCTTTCGTGAAAAAAAAAATTAAGGAAAAATATATTTAAAAAAAAAATGCGTCTCTGAATCTCGTGCAGCCTGTTTGCCACAAGTAGAACACTATTTATTTTCCCCACTTAAACAATACTGCGTATCTATCCCTATTCAAATGAACATACATCCTTGAACTGAATAACGGCTAAATTAAAAGTAATAAACTATATCAAAAGATCGAGGAGTGCGTTATAAACCGATACCCTGTGGACCGACTTCCAAACTGGAGCACCGCTCCGTAAGTAATGTAGCTCTCCTTCCCGTTCTCTGTCTCTTCTCTCTCTGCTCCCTCTCTCGCAGTCACTGGGAGGATCGAGATGAAAGGGAAGCCGCCGCTGTGATTGACACCACACCGATTGACACTCCTAAGAGAGCGAGGGGTAGGGAGATTTATACATACTGTAGCTCACGACAAATGGGTAGACAGGGAAGGAGTGGGGGCGGGTCGAAGCGGTGATGAAGCTGACGCCAATGCATATGATAGAGTAGGGCCTAGGCTATAATAGACAGATTCACTACTATGACGTTAAAATAATAAGAAAGCGCAAAGGGTGACGTTTGGATACTCAGAATTACTGTTGGATTACTGTAGGCTATGTGATTGAGGATAACTAATTCAAATGACATGGCAATGGATCACTTTTCTCCAATTTTTTAAGTAAATGTTCTAGGGAGCCCATGTATATCATAAACAGCCTATATATTCCATATTATGTGTATTTTAAGGTGGTTTAATTCGTGCGCAAACGTTCCTGAATCCATTATTTTTTAAAAGCATGTTGGTACAAAGAAGGTTACAGTCGAATCAATAGTAGCATTGATGTGTTTGTTTGTTTGTGGACAATATATAGTAGCCTCAGCAATTTCCTAAAGTTGTCCATTTATTTTTTTAAAGTATTTTGATAAACCAAACGTGTATATTTGGTCCACTAATCAGAGGGGTGAGTGAGAGGGTGTGCATAATTTATAGAAAATCGACTAATTTGGCTAAATTGGGGTCCATTGTTGTCGGATGTTCTTTCAATTACTTGGAACCTAATAGTAAATTCAACATATGTTACATAATGTTATCTCATATGAGATTTTTCCATCAACAAAACATACGTATTTTCACCTACTCACAAAACAAGACAACTATTTCCCCCTTATTTTGAGTTTAATAGATTGGCCCATAACACATTTAACCAATTCAACCATAATGGTGATATTCTCTTTTGGATATTTTGCAGTAGCCTTTACCGGGATGTTGTTCAAAGGAGAAATAGCGGTCTGTAACTCGACTGCAAAGTATGTCGAGATTGCATTTCACTGGACTTTGGAGAAACTTTGCATGTCTTGATAGACATATAATGCAGACTACTCGTGATTATGTTGTATTGCATAGGCCAGGGCATAGCTCAGATGCAATCTGATCGTTTTGAATCGTCATTTTACAGTTTGCGTAGTAGTCTATATCTTTCAGACAACAGTTCAGAGTTGAATGAACAAGCAAATAAATAACATGGGGGCTTCTTCGAGTCGGAAATGTTTAATGAGAAGAAGAAAAACATGAAGTAGTGTGTTGCTGCTGCGGCTCGCTGTGTGTGGAGAGATTGCGTGAGAATAACTTTGGAGCAGAGGCAGATCTTTATAAAGCACGGAGGTGGGGTTAGCGGGCGGAGCCGCCGCATCCTTTGATCTTTCTGGCGGCTGGCTCTTTCATCCCCGGGTTCCCCCCTCTCGCACCCTTCGCCTTTGTATGACTAAATTTGGTATGAGTCTGGAACCGGGCCAATATTTCCACGTGCGCGTTCATCCCAGCTGAGAGAGAAAGCAAGCGTTCTCTTCCGGGTAAGGAGACAGCGAAACAGATCAAAGGCTTTGGATTTGGAACGGAGTGTGGATTCGAAAGAGCAGAGACTGGCCGCATTCCAGAGTATAGCGGAAAACACACACACACACACACACACACACACACACACACACACACACACACACACACACACACACACACACACACACACATAGTGAGTTAATTAGAAAGATTTCACACATACAGACAGACCTGAATACAACCAAACCTTTCATTAAAAATCCTCTAACGTTTTATTTCTTGTTTGAAACCCTGTGAATTTTCCGTGTGATACAATCATATTTCTCTCTTTCCCCGCTCTGCATTCCTTAGAAATTGCCGGTTCTATTTCCTTATAGAATAAGACCCTTTAATTGTATTAGTTTGTCTAAAAAAATCCCCTAATTTCTAACCGAAAATGTTAATATCCTGGCGTGAACCATTGCCAAAGAGAATGACGGATACATTTTTTGGAATAGGCCTACCATATGCAATTATAGATTTTTTCCCCTTTTAAATCAGCCTTCCACAATTTTCTAATTCTCTGCCAACATAAAAATATTAATTGTTGAGACCCCATGAAGATGCATAAAAAATAATTATGAGCAATATTTTTCTATAGTGAAATTCTAAATATATTGTCCACAATCAAACAAATCCACTGGTCATATGAGGCCATATAATATAAGTCTGAACTGAAATCAAAGTTGAATGTTTTAGATGTTGCCTAAAATGCACTGCATTGTTTTCAATAACAAAAACGTTTTCCAGTGAGCAGTTAATTGGAATCAATTATTTTTTCTGCAGTGGAATTTATTCAACCACATTTTGTCCTGATGACAGAGTTAAAGAAGGTTAAAAGAGAGAGAGGGAGAGAGAGAGAGAGAGAGAGAGAGAGCGAGAGAGAGAGAAACTTTTGTCAGTGTAATGTTTACTGATAATTTTGTATTATCTATTTCACTTGCTTTGGCAATGTAAACATACTGTATGTTTCCTATGCCAATAAAGCCCTTTGAATTGAATTGAGAAATGGAAAGGGAGTGGATTGCCTAGGTATGAGCCACCTGTGAACCTGCCATTACAGTGACCCTCTCTTGGCTATGATGAAAGGCCACTGGAGGATCATGGCTTTTGAGCGCTGAGTGCATTGAAGAGGGCTCCTCAATTGTTTGGACCCAAAATAGAGTTCACTATCACTCTTGCAAAAGGTATAAGGGAACAGAAATCATATTCAGATGAAAGATTGCAGAACACTCTCTCTGTTAAATAGAACATTTAAAGAAATGGATAGGCAAGGATAGGATAGGGACGCCACCACGTCTTGCTAGCAGGGCAGCGAGAAAAGCATCATCCTCTATTGGCTAACATTGACATGTCATGATGCTGTCACCAACACACACACACCAAAGGAGGCTGGTGGGGGGAGCTATAGGAGGACAGGCTCATTGTAATGACTGGAATGGAATTAATGGAACGGAGTCCAACATGTGGTTTCCATATGTTAGATGTGTTTGATACCGTTCCATTGATACCATGCCAGCCATTACAATGAGCCCGTCCTCCTATAGCTCCTCCCACCAGCCTCCTTTGACACACACACACACACGCATGCTGTCACCAACACATTTCACACACTTCACACTCGACAACAGCATCCATTGAGGCGCTTCACCCTATTTCAGCCTGAATGTTGAAAAACAACAGGGAAAGAGGGGATGGGGAAAAAGGAGGGAGGAAAAAGAGAAGAGAAACATTAGAAGAGAAAAAATAGGAGAGAAACATTAGCATTTCTCTCCTAATGAGGTCATAAGTATGACCCCTCTGGATCTCAGATGAAACAGAAGCCTTCCTGCTGTGTTGTGACCTGAATCTAGTTGTCTCTCACGATGGAGCTACTGCATTTAATATGTTATATAATATAGTATAAAATGAAGGGAGGAGGACCAGGAATATATACTGAACAAAAATATAACCGCAACATGTAACAATTTCAAAGATTTTACTGAGTTAGTGTCCATATAAGGAAATCAGTCAATTTAAATAAATTCATTAGGCCCTCAAAACTTGAGACATCTGTGGCATTGTGTTGTGTGACAAAACTGCACATTTTGGAGTGGCCTTTTATGGTCCCCGGCACAAGATGCACCTGTGTAATGATCATGCTGTTCAATCAGCTTCTTAATATGCCACACCTGTCAGGTGGATGGATTATCTTGGCAAAGGAGAAATACTCATGAACAGGGATGTAAACAAATTTGTGCAAAACATTTTAGAGAAATAAGCTTTATGTGTGCATGGAAAATGTTTGTGATCTGTTATTTCAGCTCATGAAACCAACACTTTACGTGTTGTGTTTATATTTTTGTTCTATATATCATATCTATACACAGCATAATTTATCATACCTTGTTTGAATTTCTAATCTGAGCAGGAGATATGTTTTTTAATCTGGGGGAGATTAATCATTTCACCAGTTGAGGCTGCTGAGGGGAGGACGGCTCATAATAATGGCTGGAACAGAGCAAATGGAATGGCATCAAACCATGTGTTTGAAGTATTTGATACCATTCCACTGATTCCGCTCCAGCCGTTACCACCAGCCCGTCCTCCCCAATTAAGTTGCCACCAACCTCCTGTGCATTTCACCCAATGTGAGTGTTTGCAT